CCCCCCCCCGCACACACACCTCAGTGGATGAACTAAGTGGGAACCCTCTCGTTTCAATCTCTGCTCCCAAAGCCTGTGGGTGGACTGAAGCTCTGGGGGCCCAGGCGTCGTACAGCCCCCACCTCTGCGAGGCCTGCGCCATCCCTTCTCCATCCTCAATGAGGCCCCTTCTTCTCTCCCCGGGTGTCCTGGCGCCAGCCAGTACGCCACCCTTTTCGCACCATAAGCTCACCCCTGGGTAAGGGGGCAGGGGCCCTCCCCGCCGTGGTCCTCGCCCCTGGCCCACCTCCGAAATGCGGTCGCGGGAGGCGCCGGGCCGGGCAGGTGGAGGGGGAGGGCGCGTTGGCCAGGGCCTGCGCCCTCGGATCTTCGTCCCCGCGCGCCTGCCCCATACTCACCCGGGAGCCGAGAGCGGTCAGCGGGCCCTCCGCTCCGCATCCATTAGCCGGTGATCTGGCTGCTTCACTTCCGGAGCGCGGGGCTCTGGGCAGCGCGGCCCTCCCTCTCCCCCTCCCTCCGCAGCTCCCACCCCGGCGCCCCGCCCCGCCCCGCCCCGCCTCTCTCAGCCCGCTGCCGGGAACTGGAGCCTCTCCTTCCCGCTGCCGCAGCTGCCGCCCAGCCAAACCCAACTTTGCAGCTCGCGGGAGCTCCCGCGGCGGCGGGGGCGTGGGCAGGGGGAGCTAGCGGGTCAGGAGGAGGGGCCGGAGGGAGGGTCGCCCGCTCGCCAGCCCTCCTTCCTTTCTGTGCACCTTGCGGTAGGCAGAGCGCGGCGGTGGCGGCGGCAGCCGGGGGCTGTGCTCAGGGAGGCGGACCTAGGGACCGCAGACGGGCGGACAGACGGAGGGACCCTCCCCGAGCCCCGCACCATGGCCGAGAGGAAGCAGTCCGGGAAGGCGGCAGAGGACGAAGAGGTCCCTGCCTTTTTTAAGAACCTGGGTTCAGGAAGCCCCAAGCCCCGGCAGAAATTCTGTGGCATGTTCTGCCCGGTGGAAGGGTCCTCGGAGAACAAGACCATCGACTTCGACTCGCTGTCGGTGGGCAGGGGCTCGGGGCAGGTGGTGGCTCAGCAGCGGGACGTCGCCCACTTGGGCCCGGACCCGCAGCCGCCGTACTCCCGGCAGGGCCGGCGTGCCGGCGGGGAGCCATCTGTTGAATCGGGCCGGAAGGTGGCGATCCGGCGGGCCTCGGGCAAGGAAGCCCTGCAGAACGTCTACGACCAGGTGGGTATGGGGGAGGGGAGGCCGGAGAAGGAGGACGGGGCTCGGGGATCGCCCCTCCCTCGCATCCCAGAGTGCCCACCGTCCTGCCCCTCCCCGGATCTGTGCCAGCACCCCACCCTACTCTATCCTTCTCGAAGGGTGCGGAGAGGCTCCGGCTGGGCGGTGGGCGATGCGCCCACAAAGGCTGCCAGTGCTTATCTGGGTCTGGGAGGTGGAGGGGGGAAGGATGGGCCGATCCTCGGCTGGGGGATCGCAGGGTGGGGTGCGGGGATGGGCGGCGGTTCCATTCTTCTTAAACCCTCCCGGGCGGCTCCCTACTGCAGCTGTGGCCTGGTGTCCCACCCTTTTTCGATGCAGCTCGGAGCGTGCGGTGGAGGCTTCGGGTAAAGGCTTGGGCTCCCCAGGGGTCGGGAGGGGCGGGCGGGGGCTCAGACCGCTGCTCCCGCCCGCGCCCAGCGCGCTCTCCACCGCACCGTCTCGCGCTCGCGTCCGGAGCTGGAGGCCAGGACCATGGTCAGCGGCTCCCGCACCGCCTCGGAGAATCTCGTCACCCTGATTCCTGTTCGCAAAGTGAGAAGAACCAGGGAGGCGATGGAGTCACCCGAGGAAACCCTGACGCTCCTAAATAGCCCATATGCAGAGCAAAGTTCCGCTAAGTCTCTCAGCAAGGGCTTCCCAGAGCCTCCCCCACCCCCGCCCGCCCTATTTAGGAGGCGCTTTGCAGATAGGGACTAAGTAGATTATGTTCAAAGGGTGAAAAGAAAAGGGAAACACCTTCACATTTTGAATAGATTGTCAAAGATGGACTCGACCCCCTATACTGTGTTAATGGGGAAACAAAGAGAACCAATATAGTAAACCTTGATTTAGAAAATGTTTGTCACCTCTGGCAAAAATGAACAGTTTGTATTTTAAGTGAAGTCATCTTCTCACACCAGTTTTTTTTTATCAGTGTGACCCTCATACTTGTGCAGCCCCCCCCCCCCACATACACACAAACCGTAATTTCTCAACTGATGAATTACAGTGTGAAATGTTTTAACACTTGTTTGCTGTTTCTCTCCCAGGCCCATTGGTGAAGACGAGAAATGAGTCAATGATTGATTATTTATTGAATATCTATTATGTACCTTGCCTTGTGGGGCTGGGGGAAGGTTAGCTATATAAAAAGTTCAAGGCAATTTTTTTTCCTAAGGGCTTCTAAGTAGTTGGGGGTGGTCTCTACATATTCACTGAGTGATTCCACAGTCATTTCTTTGGCTCAACATTCAGGGTGTGTGCTGACAATGAACACATCAGAAAACAATTAACAGTTGGTGATAATGGCCCAAATATGTTACTGTTTCCTGATGTAGCATGGAGTGTGGCAGCCCTTCACTTTTATTATAGTCTGAGTGTATAATGTTGCATTTGAAATTCTACAACTATATTGAATTTTTTACAATTTAGTAAAACAACATGTACCCAACTTTAATGAGTACTTTCACATTTAAATACTGTCAAAGTTAGAGAATGTTATTTAAATTATTATCTGCTCCTTTAAATTTTTTTTTAGGTCTTCACTTTTATAGGGCCAATTCTAGAAAAGAGAAACCATTTGCTGTCATTTTAAAAAGATAGGGCAACTAATTACTTAATTGATTCCTCTTTCCACAGCCCTGTCCTCTGATCTACTCCTATAGGGGAGTACTTGATATCCTTATTTCACTGTGAGTCAACCAGAAGAACTTAATCCAAAAAACTCACTTTTTACCAAGTCATTACACAAACTTTGACAATTGAAGTAAAGTTTTTCTTAAAAAAAAAGATATTGATTTTGTGTGTGTGTCTGAGAGAGAGAGAGAGAGAAACATCAATAGGAGCAAAACATTGATTGCCTCCTGCACGCCCCCTACTGGAGATCAGCCCACAATCTGGGCATGTGCTCTGACTGGGAATCAACCTGAAACCTTTTGGTGAATGAGACAACACTCATCCAACTGACCACACCAGCCAGGGCTGAAGTAAAGTTTCTAATAGTGAAAGCTGAGTGAGTGTGAAATACTTCCCTATGTGAATACAATGGGTGGGGGCAAACCATGATCATATAGCATCATAGCATCATGGTTATGTGAGTATTCTTGCCTTCAACACATTGTGCTTGCTGGTGATCCTAATGACCTAAAGAGAGGAGAAAAATGCCTTGAGATAAGGAAGAGATCTTCTTCTTCTTCTTTTTTTTTTAAAATAGCAGTTCAGGGGACGGAGATTAAAAGTGGCCATCTTGATAATGATGTCAGTGAATTAAAATTAAATTTTGAAAGGCAAAGTTTCACTGGGTTAAATAACATCTCTTGTTCTGTAAATTTAGAATCTTAGATATTTGACCATCAGAGCTACGAGTCTGAACACACTCCAAATTTAACTGAAGTTCTAAATTGTAAGCCTAGGGTATATGAGAGAGATTTGAAGAGGAAATACCCAGCCAAAACTCCAGGCAGTTTTAGCCTCTGCAAACCCACATTTGTACCAGAGGGTGATTCTGGTTTGGTCTTCTGCAGCCTTCCCTGAATTTTATTTTATTTTTTTAATTTTCATTTTCAATCTTGCCTTATCACATAAGGGTTGTTCCTATGGGATTTGTTTCATTCATGACCGGGAGTATTTACCAGGATCAGTACTTACAGTGTTTGAATATTTCACGTTTATACAAGAGAACAAAGGTGTGTGTGTGGGGTGTGTGTGTGTGTGTATGTGTGTGTGTTTGGTGATTTCCAAAAGTGCAGTTTGACCCGCCATTTTGACTGAACAAGTGGCCATTACTTAGTTTTCAGCTAATGAGCAGGGTGATGGCCAGCACCGCAGTGCATGCCTATCTGGAGCCCTAGCACAGAGAAGTGGGGAACTGAGCAAGTGGATTGAGGCCCCCATTCACCCCCCTCCTCCTCCCTGAATCTTTGTTTGTGGGTGTTCTTAATGCCTGGTCACAGAAATGGCTTTGTCCACCTGTTGCACTAGGGGTTCTATTCCTTTGGGAAGGGAGGGAACAGGCTTCCTTAGCCCAGATGGCTTGTGGGAGACCAGGAAAAGTGTCTGAGCTTGCATTTGCAGGTGTCAGCAGGTCAGCACTAGGAACCACTGGGCGTGGCTTGGGCTGGGCTGCTAGGTTTTGGTGAAGGGCAAGGACCAGTGTTGTGAATGCAAATAAGAGAAGCTTCTATCTCATTACTGTCTTTTTTCTTTTTGTCCTTGGGGAATCCACCTTGGGCTACAGTGAGGTTAGGTTGATGACCACCTGTGAAGAACTCGAGCCCCTTGGAACAGAGAGCAGAAGGTCAGCACTGCTGGCCAATTCTCCCTTGCCAGTGCCCTGGGGTCCCTCAGCCTCCTCCCTTCCTCTTAGGAATTCCCTCCATTGCAACACACAGCTTAGCCAGGACCAGCTATTCCACCAAGGAAATTAAATCATGAGCATCCTGTCCAAAGGAGCTCCCAGGCTCTTCTCCCAGCAGCAAACAACCTGCGTAGACTAGAGTGGCAGGGGAGTGATTCTCCACTTTCCAGGGCAGGTGCCAGTCTGTGAACTACACAAGAGTGCTGCTGACTTGACAAAATCACCAGCTCTGTAAATGCTTTCTGATATTCCTTTCCCTTCTGTGTCCCCATCCCCTCTCCCCATATTATCTCCCAACACTGGCTGCCCGGTGACTCTGCTGCCCTCTTACTGTTCAGTGCTACCCCTACCCCACCCTGATCATGATGCTTTTTCTAGATCTTTCTTCCTCCCAAAGCAACAAATTCTGAAATCACTCCCTTCCCCTTTGCCTTCCTCTCTCTCATTCAAAATTCCTGCCCTGTGTTAATCTTAGCTAGGGAGAAATCCCAGTGATTGAAGGCATCCATACCTTCTGTGAATGACTGTTTCACAAGTTGTCCCTAGAGATGCTTGTTTGATAGTAGGCTAGCACTAGCCTGTCCAACAAAAAGAACGTCTAGTTAGCACAATGTGTGGTAGAGACTTGGCTGGGAGCCTAGAACAAGAATATTGATTTGATACTTTAGAAGGCACATTGTTTCAAAAGAGGAGGTGCAAATGTGAACATGTATGTGCTCAGGATCCCCCCAAAACTATGACCCATCTGGGTTCAAAGGGAGAGGGATGCTTGGGAGGAGAAGGAAATGGTGATAATCGATAATTATTGGTTGCTCTTGATTTCCCAAATGATTATTGAAGTAATCAGATAATTAGTTAAAAAACTATATGTGGTGACATACACATAACATAAAATTTAGCATCTTAATCATTTTTAAGTGTACAGTTGAGTGGTGTGAAATATATTCATATTGACGTGCAACCCATCTCCAGAGCTTTTTCATCTTGCAAAACGGAAGCTCTTTGCCCATTAAACAACATATTAGTATACACCTCTCCCAGCCATCATTCTACTTTCTGTCTCTATGAATTTGACGAAGTACTGCATATAATTGGAATCACAGTGTTTATCTCTTTGTGACTCGCTTAGTTCACTAGCATAATGTCCTCAGTGTTCATACATGTAGCATGTGACAGGATTTCATTTTTAAGGCTGAATAATATTCCTATAATTAGTTAAATTTTAATGAGTCATTGATATTGGAAAGTTGTCGCTCAATTAATAGGCCCGCGATGAATTATGGGAGGAAGAAAGAAGGGTTACGTTTGGGATGCAGTAGACCCCACCACCTCCACCTGGGGACTAAGGCTTGAGTAGAAGAAAATCCCACCAGCTGATCATCATTTCCCTTGTAGCTCAGAGGTGGAGAGGATACTTGCTGTCCATGAATTTTGAGTGACAACATCCGGCCGTGACCTCCTGAATGTTGCATAGTTCGTGAGCTCCTGGCCCATGGAAATCTGGACAGGGCCGGGCGTTTTTCTACTTTGGAAAAGACAGCCCGGTATTCCTGTGGACCCTTTGGTGTCAGTGGCACTTTCTACTTCCTTGAGAGAGAAGGGAGAGTCAGAACTGGCCATGGAGTCCAATGTATACTATCACCAAATGTGAGAGCTTGAAGGAGGCCTTCTGATTAATCACCCCATTTCTAGAGGTGGAGAAAGTGATGTCACGCAAGATAGCACTTCATCCCATGCAACTCAGGTGACAGTCCCAGGACTGGAATGGAGGCCCCTCACTGCCTAGTCCCACTGCAGTCCTATGCCAGAAAAACCTTGTTATTTATGTAGCATTACATCTAGATCCTGTATTTGAGAATGTATAGAATATATTACTTTAAAACTTGCCCCAGTACCATCTGATATAGGCATTATTCCCTTTGTAAATAAGGACACAGAGTCTTAGTGATATTTACTGAGGATCCCGAGGCCTTGCTATTTAGTAAGTACATAAACTAGGATTTGAACCAAGGTTTCCTGACTCAGTCTCATATTTCTTGCAACACATCATTCTTTAGTTCAGTTCCAAGGTCACATATAGTGAATTTAAAGATATAGTTTAGTTTTGTGGGCAAAATATTTCATATTCTATTAAACTTCATATGTTCTAAGGGGTAGCCCTGTGATAAATACTTTATATGTGCTATGTTGCTAATGCTAAGACAACTATACTGAGTAGGTACTACTGCTATTCTTCTTTTGCAAAAATATCTGAAGGTAAAAACAAACAAACTTATAAAGCAACTTGCTAATTAAAAGCTAGAGGCAGGATTTGAACCCAGGTCTATGTGACTAAGGAGCCTCTTAATCACTGTGAGGTACTGAATTGCTCTCTATTTCAACTATTCTTTTCTCATTTTATCTCCAAAAATTCACTGTAGCAAAAAAAAAAAAAAATTCTGTGCCTACCTTTTTTGTTTTCTTTTTTGCAATGTACTTTTTGAAGCCATTTATAAAAGGGACTGTTGATCTGTCTTTATGAATGTGCCCTAAACTTCGATATTCTGTCCATCATTTTTTTTTTAATTCAAGAGATGTCTTCAGATATCACTGGACAGAGGCCAACTCTGAGAGTATGAATGACATACTTTTCTAAGATTAGAGCAATGTGATGACAGTGTGCTTTTTCTACTTGATGTAAACCAAGAACAACAAGCAAATAATTAAGAGGCCATCAATAACAGCATCAATAACAGCATTGATTGGCAGGTGGGCTGATGGACACTTGGGTTTGGTTGGTTGGTAGGGTAGGCTGAGAGCTGCACACCAAGAATGCCTTGAAGGGGAAGCACCCGGTCGTAAGGTGGCTTGGTTTGCTCTCAGGACCTTACAGACAGCTTGCCTGGGGTCTGATTCCAAGGCCGCTCTCTGGCAGAAAGCACTCTGGGCAAGGAGTCAGGAAGCCCAGCTTGTCTTCCTGGCTCTACAATCACTCGCTATGCTAACTGCTCAGTCACCTAACCTGGGCCTGTCAGGCTGGGCCTTAATGTTTAAGATTCCTTCCTCCATTTCCTCTAAAGTCCCTGAAAGAAAGCTATGCTGTCCCTGGCTTTTCCTTTCTTCCTTCCTTCCTTCCTTCCTTCCTTCCTTCCTTCCTTCCTTCCTTCCTCCCTCCCTCCCTCCCTCCCTCCCTC